CTTCCTTATGTCCAGCCTGAAATGGTCTTGTAGTAGTTTATAACCGTTCAACCTCATCATCCCTTGGGGCACTCTGGTGAACAAACATTCCTCCAGATACTGGTCAACACCCCTGATAAATGTATAGGTGGCCATCAGATCACCCCTGAGCCTGCACTTTTCCAAGCTAAAATGCCCCATGGCTCTCAGCCTGTCATTGTAAGGTCTGTTTTCCTGAACTCTGATCATGCGCGTGGCTCTTCTCCGGACTCGCTCAAGCTTCTCCACATTGTTTTTTAATTGTGGGACCCAAAACTGGATGCAGTACTCCAGCTGTGGCTTCACCAAGGCCGAGTACAACAGGAGAATGACGTCCCGGGATTTGCTTGAGAAGCATCTATGGACGCAAGTCAGCATTTTGGTTGCTTTACTAGCCACAGCATCACTGCAGGCTCATGTTCACCTTGTGGTCAATGATAACCCCCAAGTCTCTTTCTTCCGCAGTGCTAGCCAGCATAGCACTGCCGAGCCCATAAGGATATTGTAGGTTCTTCCTCCCAAGGTGGAGAACCTTGCATTTTTCAGTGTTAAACACCATCAGGTTCTCATCCGCCCATTTGCTGAGCCTGTCAAAGTCAGCCTGGATTGCCCTCCTGTCTTCAGGTGTGGATGCTTTGCCCCAGAGTTTGGTGTCATCGGTGAACTTGGCCAGTCCGCTTCTGACTCCAATGTCCACATCATTAACGCTCTGAATGCTCTTGACTTTCGGTGGGAGGTCTGTAGTAGACTCCCACTGTTGTGTCCCCTGCGCTGTGTTCCCCATGTATTTTAACCCAGAGGGTCTCAAGTCATCCACCCTGGTTGCCAACATCAGCTTGCTGGGACACGTAGCTTTCCTTAACATAGACAGGTACACCCCTGCCCCTTAAGATCTACTCAATCTCTCCTGTACAACGTATAGACATCTATACCCATGGTCCAGTCATGGGTGGAGTCCCACCAGGTCTCTGTTATCCCTATGACGTCATAATTATTTGCATTAAGCAGGAGGACGAGTTCCTCCCGCTTATTCCGCAAGCTCCTGGCATTTCTGTACAGGCAAGCAAGTGTCCCCTTGGGGGCTCTTGCCTTGCCCACAGATTGTACCAGGGCTGGGGCAGGGGTGGGCTCCCTTAAGTGCCTTGGCCTGCTGGCTTTGCAAGGGTCATTCAGCGGGCCACCGTGGCGGTAGTCCCCCCGTCCCCCAGTGGGCTTAGTTGAAAGCCCAGTGGAGCAGGTCAGCCAGTCTGGCTGAGAAGAGCCTCCTCCCCAGCGGACAGAGGTGGAGGCCATCTCTTCCGAGCTGCTCGCTGCCTCTCTCACCAAAGAGCAGGCTGTGGTCATGGAAGCCAAAGCCTTCCTGATGACACCAGCACCGCAGTCTTTGGTTAACTACCTGGATCCTCCTCTCCCTCCTCAGCCCATAACTCAAGAGAAGGATCAAAGAGAACACCACTTACACCCCCAGACTCTTTAGTCCTGCTCCAAAATCCCTGTAGCACCTCATGACCCAGCTGGGAGTGCTCCAAGCCATGTCATTGGTGCCCACATGAATAAGCAGCATGGGAATTTGAAGCATAGAATTCAAGAGATGAGGGTGTTATACATATACATGAGCTTGCACCCATCACAAGATGCAGAGGAAAACAAAGTCATGGAAAGGAGGGGATGTGAGTGTGTGTACATGTGCATGTCTGAGTCAGGGGTCTCTGTGGGCTGTAGGGAAAAACACTGAAAGAAGAAGCTGTAATTTCTAACTAACATTAATGGGACAAATGTTCCTGGAGCCCCAACGAAATTTTGAAAATTTTCCTTTTAAGATATGGTACAAAGGCTTTCAGGGCACCAACAAATGCATGAGTGTTTGTACATGTGTGCGCACATGTTCACACCCTCCCCCTCATTCCTTGCAACAGAGTATGCGGCTTTCTTACTCTGGCTCTGTTTTACTAATACAGAGTTTCGCTCTTTGCTCTGGAATAAAATACATCTTTACTTACCCATTAATTAATGAGGTTGGAATGGTGTGAGTGATTTGCAGTAAAGAGCTCTGACAGTTTATACACAGTGAGTAATACCATGTCAGGCCCTTCAATATTTATATTCAGATGAATGGCACCTAATGTGATACACATGATAAAGCCTAACATAAATATTTACTATTCCAAGCTAAATCTACTGGCATGACTAATTTGGTCAACTTTGTATCTCACTACACTTTTGCCTGCCAACTCTATTCAATTAAAAGTGTATTTCCAGAAAAACTTTATCAAATGCATTTAGAAGTCCTCTCTGCAATGACAGTTCTTGGGAATATTTTCCCCAGTGTTTAACTCCAATGATATCAGTTAACAAGATCCTGGAGTTTTTAGACCCTGACTGGTTTGCTGCAGTCTGATAACAGGTTTTTATAGATCCACTTTCAACATCTCCTCCTATATGCTTCAAATTGCTTTAGAGTAAACTGTACCAGCCTTTCAGGGAACTGTCTTTGTTGGGAGACGGACAGACACAGAAATGCATTCAAAGTCCACAACATGCACTGAATATGGAACCATATTACCACTGCCCTACCCTGAAAGACTCCAGATACTCTCCATTTTCCACCCTGAAGAAAGACACAGAATGGGCACATCTATATGAGTTGCTTAACTGTGCAGTAGAGTGGGGACAGACGGGGGAGGCAAGATGCCTGTGGCCAGCACCCAGCAGACCACTAGCCTTAGGGAAGTGAGCAGGGATGGGGGTCTGGGTCAGTGGCCTCCTGGGCCCAGGCCTGCCAGGTCAACTTACCATAGTCCCTGACCACCTGTCCATGCGCAACCCCTGATCTCCAGCTGGGGATGCTCTGGTATAGAGCATCTTGTCTTTTAAATGTTGCAAACTCTCACAAACAACTTCTTTCTCAGGTCTCTACAGGGCCTGCAGCTGCACACAGGGGAGATGCTGCCCTTGGCAGCTGGGATGTAGCCTCAGGGTTGCTGCTACCCACAGCTGGGTCCCTGCAGATGAGCCAGCTCCACCAGAGGAGGACCCCGAACAGAACCCTCCTCTTGGATCACCTGGTCATGGCATCAGAGGACAATGTGGGGGATGCTCAGGCCTGGCAGGTGGAGGATGTGGCTCAACAAGACAGGTTGCCTGCAAGCATGAGGCACAGAGCATGTTGCCTGCAAGGAGGCACAGGACTGGCATGAGGAGGCATGGGACCAAACAGACTGGGAGTCCTGGGCACAGCTCCTGGCCCTGGACCGTGAATGGGTGGGAACCATGTGGGTAAAAAATGCTATCCTGGCCCAGGGAGTGCAGGCCACAGACAACGACCACCAAGTGCTGTTCTTCATTCTGGCCCTGGTGGTCACCTTTGTGCTGCCCGCTGCCTGGCCCCAAACTGTTGCCTGACTCTAGCCATGCCTACCGTTGGCAACCACTTACCACCCAGCAGCAGGCCCCTGCCTGGGTCTGAGGAGGAGGTCCTGCACTGCCTCCAGCATCCAGGAGACCCTGGCCCAGTCCACGCCCTGGATCTGGCACCAGCCAGCTCCCCCACCACTAGCCCCACCTGAATGTGGGCATGGAGCTGTCTGCAGTAGAGCCAGGACTGCATGTCTGCCCTGCTGGCCCTGGATACTAGCTCCTGGAGGGGAAGCAGCCTGCACTGGTGGAGCACCAGCCACTGTCACCTGTGGGTGAGCCTCACTTGCCACAGCAGTCACCCACCACAGCAAATCTGCTTTCACTTCCCTGCATGTTGAGTCTAGAGAAGAGCCACACACAGGATCAGAGGTCAGGAAAACAGACCTTATGATAACAGGCTGAGAGCTATGGGGATCTTCAGCCTGGAAAAGTGCAGGCTCAGGGATGATCTGATGGCCTCCTCTAAGTTTATTGGGTTGACCACCAGTATCTGGGGGAACGTTTGTTCACTAGAGCGCCCCAAGGGATGATGAGGTCAAATGGTTATAAACTACTGCAAGACCATTTCAGGCTGGACATAAGGAAGAATTTCTTTACTGTCTAAGCCCCCAAGGTCTGGAATAGCCTGCCATCGGAGGTGGTTCAAGCACCTACACTGAACATCTTCAAGAAATAATTGGATGCTTATCTTGCTGGAATCTTATGACCCCAGCTAACTTCCTGCCCTTTGGGTGGGGGGCTGGACTCGATGAACTTCCGAGGTCCCTTTCAGCCCTAATGTCTACGAAATCTATGTGTAGACTCTTGCCCAGCACCATTTACTCATGAGTAATTTACTCATGAGTAAACTAGTGCTGCATCAAATGCACGTGTAGATGTGCCTGGTGTCACTATTCATTTGTAACTACCCATGCCCATAAAAGCAGCTGCAACTCCACCTTCCCCTGCCTCCCCATAAGGTTCAGCCCAAGAAGCTTCTTTTGAATTAAAGTCACACATGCCATGACTCTAGTCCAGTATCACAGAGTCACAGAAAACAAGGGTTGGTAGGGACCTCAGGGGGTGATCTAGTCCAACCCTCTGCTCAAAGTAGAACCATCCCCAACTAGATCATTCCAGTCAGGGCTTTGTCTAGCCAAGTCCTAAAAACCTCCAAGGATGGAGATTCCACAACCTCTCTGGGTAATTTGTTTCAGTGCTTTACTACCCTCCTAGTGAGAGAGTTTTTCCTAATATCTAACCTAAACATCCCGTGGTGCAACTTAAGACTGCTGATCCTTGTTCTGTCATGTGTCACCACCAAGAACAGTCCAGCTCCATCCTCTTTGGAACCCCCATTCAGGTAGTTGAAGGCTTCTATTTAATCCCCCTCAACCTCTCCTCAGAAGTCATATGCCCCAGCCCTCTAACTATTTTCATTGCCCTCTGCTGAATTAACTCTCTCCAATTTGTCCATATCCTTTCTTTAGTCGGGAGCCCAGAACTGGACACACTACTCCAGATGTGGCCTTACTGGTGCTGAATAGAAGGGAAGAATCACCTCCTTCAATCTGCTGGCAGTCTGGTCTGGCCTGGCCCTGTGGCCCAGAGGCATAGGCAGCAGCTGGCCTATGGGAGGCCGCCCCTCCCTCTCCTGGTGCTGGCAGCAGGGGGAATGATCGATCATGGCTGGCGTAGGTGAAGCACCTGTCCCCTGCTCATGGAGGTTCTGGGTGCTTAGGGCTGGCTGCCATGGGCCAGTTGCTGCCTAGGCCCCTCAGCTGCCGGGCTGGGCTGCAGCAGTCCATTGCCTCCCCCCACCAAGGCCCTCACCCCTGGCCCACAGCAGCCCGCCCTGAGCAGACAGCAGATGACAGGTACTTCACCTACACCTGCCACGATAGTTCACTCCACTGCCAGTGCTGCTGGAAGAGGGAGGAGGTAGGGAGCCACACTGCAGCTGCAGCCCACCTGAAAACTGTAGCCCTTGCATGGTACTGGAGGTGGGAGGTGGTGAGCACTGCCCCCTGGGGCCACCCCAGCCTGGGCCGTGCTGCCACAGCAGGAAGCAACAATGAGTTGGGCAGTAACTAGCCCTGGTCCCACCCCCCTGCAGCTACGTCACATCCCCGCTCCCTGTGGCCAGCTGGCTGCTCCTCAGAGGGACTCAGCCCAAGGTGCCCCCACCACTGCTGCCTGCAATGGGAGGATCAAACCCCTCCCCACTTCCCTCAGGCTACTGACATTTGGCCACCATGGCACTGGGTGCATGGCCTCGGTGCACAAGCAGAGCTTATTGGTGCCTCAGCCACCCCACTGCAATGGTGGGGATTAAACCCCTGCTTCCCCTCTGGCTACCAGGATCTGGCCCTGCCCCCACTCCTACCACTGGAGCAGCAAGTGAACAGGGGTGGGTGGCTGGGGAATCCTGACAGGAGCTGCACCCTGTCTGTGGTCCTTGCAGGCCAGGGTGGGCGTTTAAACCCTCCCCAGTCATATTCAGGCCTGCCCAGGCCTGGCCATGCCACCCAGCTTAATTTCCTTCTAGCCGAGGGCTCACTCTAGTGCCCTTCCCCACCCCCACCCCCGCTTCTGGTCTGAGCCACTGCAAGCATGTGGCACATTTCTGGAGTTAAAAGTGCATATTTATTCACTTGTAAACTGGTTCAATCTACTCAGGTTAAAGTAACCTGAAAAGATTGAATCAGTTCAGGCTCCGGCTTTTTGAATGTCTGTCTCTAGCTTTGGGGTGCTAACTGTGACCCTCTCAGCCCTTACCCCACCTGTCTCACCTTCACTGGGCTCATAACCTGAAGTACTTCCCAGGCACCCCTCCATGGCTTCTGATCCTCCGCTACACCATAACCTGGTCCTCTGGTTAAGCTTAGTCAGAATGTAAATACAAGCAAACTGGTTTCACAACTAAAGTTCTTCCCACACTGAGCCATTGCCTCACTGCAAACTGTAAGTTCCCCTTAGCTCTCTCCTTCTGCTATGGGATAGCTCAGGTGCCTGCCAGTCCCGTCCTGTCCCCTCCCCACCATGCAGCCATCTCCCATAAGAGCTCCTCGCCCTGCCGCATGCAGGGCTAAACTGACTGCTTGCTCTTAGGCACTGGTCTTATGTGCCACCAAGCCCCACCCATCCTGCTTACGTGGCTCTCCAGCCACACATAGGGGTTTCCACTTCGGCTTGATGGCCAGCCTGCCTTCTTCTGCAGCTTTGCCTTACTTATGTGATGCCTGTGGGGTGCCTCTTGGCTACTTTTTGCTTGCTCCCCACAGCAAGATTAGCCTGCCGCGGGTTCCCCTTTAAGTACCAGGAGCCTCTGGCTCCCTTTTGCACTCCATCCATTTGACTGTTCACACAGTTTAGGTTACATCCTAACACCGAAGGCAAAAGAATGCAAAATTACATCACGACAAATATTTGTTTAGGTATTTACGTTAAGGAACTGTTTTGGAAATATTCCCTTTAGTTAATAGCTCGTAGATAAGACTGCAGTGAGATGCAGAGTAAAGACCAAATTAATTAAGCCAGTAGGTTTAGCTTACAGTGCAAAATATTTATGTTCAGCGTCAAACATGCATGTGTTTACTTTCCTCAAAATACAAGTGGTTGAATTTTACAAGTACTAATACTCAAAGGAAGCACACTTTAAAACACTCCTGTGAATATTTGAAGAAAATAAAATTGTAAATGTGCCTGTATAACATTCACTGGCTGCACACACAGGCTGTGTCCAGACAAGCACAGCTATGCTCCGGCTGTCAGCCAGGCTCCGAGCAACAGGATTGCTGCACCCCCAGGATACACAGAGAACCCCAAGTAAGACTGCTGGGGTCAGCCCAGTGCTGGCTCCAGCCTCCCCTACCAACCCAGGGAACAGGAATTCCCCAGGGACAAGTATCAGTGGGACAAGATTTGCCACTGCTTCTTGTCCCCAGGGAAACAAACATCCATGTTCATGTGGATGCAGACACAGTTTCCATAAAAGACCATGTTAATAGCCCATGATAATGATCCAACCCTAGAAGTACTTGTGTGCTTGCCAGAACTGAAACAATACCTCGCAACTTATCTGAGCCATTACAACTAAGCCACACAGGTTGAGTTTGAAACACTTTGGTTCTGTTTGGTATGCACATAAATTTGGAAAGACACACTGAAACAACAGGAAGTCAAAGGAAACCTAATCTACTTGTGTGTAACGCGCAAGTATAATAGGCTAAATCCACTGAATGAATTATGTTTGATTGAGAATTACTCTGCTCCAACATTTGCTTACCTTACTCTCACTTGGGTTGCTTTGGCCATGTTCCTTTGTGTTTCTTCCACAGTTCCTAAAAGCAATATAAACTCTTTCCAATTTCAAATCAGATGGGTGGAATTCACCACTAGTGCAGGACCAGCAGAAGGCTAATTCATAACCCAAATCCAAGGAAACTCATGAACTCTTTAAGCAGTTCCCTGTAAAGTCTCAGTGACCATTCTCCACTGTTCAGAAAGACTGCAGTCTCTTGGATTTTATATTGCGTTCTTTGCCATTCCTCAGTCTCCTATGGCATGGCTGTTTTTTAATACCTCCTCCAATTGCATATACACATCTTAAGTCCCTAAAATGTTCTTTCCTAACATGTAATAACTTCTTGTACTGCTGCAATCTTCTGGAGTATATCTTACTATTTATTTGGTCACTGGTTCCAAAATTCCTAATTCATGTGATAGCTGACTACTTCTCCAGATTGATTCTGGTGGGAACACCTACCACTGGATCATGTAGCATGGTTACCACTTTCATGCACAATTAGCATTTTTTGCTGAACAGTTACATGTCTCCTCAATTAAAAAACCACTTTGTTACTTTGAAGAATTCTTCAGTTAGACAGGGAAATTCTCCATCATCCTTTTCTTTATAGACATCACTGTTATTTCTCCTTTTCCTCCTCCCATTTACTGCATCTTTCCTTGACTACAGAAAGAATTTGGCATTGGGAATGTAGTCAATATACATTGCTCTACCTTCACATGTACTTCCCTTTCTCTAAACTTAGACTGTTGACATAAAATATTTGTCTCTATAATAAGACCCATCCCAGGGGTAGCTGTGATGCCCCCTGGTGACCACATGATTCCTGCTCCACTCCAGCTCCTTCAGGTACACTCCTTTGCTATTCTACCTGCCAGGACTTGATTTTGCTCAGGGAGTTTGGGAGGCAGCTCCAGGGTCTCCAAGGTGAGTCTGGTGTCCTGCTATCTTGGCCCTCAGGCAGTAAGTTATGGCCCTTGTGAATTTACTGGTGCGTTAAGGCACCAGTTGCCTTATGGGCTGTATTTGTGGTCTCTGTCTGCCCCTATAGGAATGCCCATGCCCTGCAGATGTTAGTCTAAATCCAGACACCAGCCTGTACAGGCTTCAGCCCTTCTGGATTTGGCACACTGGTTGGTCAAGCTGGGGACTCCTAAGTCTCATCCCACTGGCTGTGGCTTGGCTTCTCAGTGCCAACCTTCTCAGTTGTTCTTTACTCTATTGAAGCTCAAGCTCTGGCTCTCTTGGCCATTAACCCGACCCTGTTTTACATTTGGGATGCAGTTTCTGGACCCCTTGGCTCTTAGCCTGCCTCTGTCTTGCCCTCTCTGGGCTCATAACTTGGAGTGCCTCCAGTCCTCCCCTATTAGCCATACTCAGCCCTCCAGTTTTAGTCATCTCTACCACTGTGCAAAAAAACCCCCAAACTAACAAAATACATCTAGGTATTCAGAAAACCAAAATCAAATGGAATTCAGAATCATCCCCATCCTAGGGTAAAATTAAGGTAAAGCGGAAGAAAAATAGACTTCTTTGCCTACATAATAGGCCTCTCTTCACCATCCTCTCCCAGATCTACAACAAAGTGCCTGGGAGGTCCTCTCCCTCTCTGAGCCAGGGCTAGACTGACCATGGACTTGAGAGTGGCCATTTTATACTCCTAAGCCCCTCCCCTTCCAGCCAGCTTGCTCTATTACACCATGCACACCCTGTGTTCTCTCACTGGGCAGCTCTACCCTGCTTCGGCTTGATGCACCTGCTGCAGGGCCACTGGTGACTGTGGAAACCCTATCTCCACTCTTTATATGGTCTCTGCTCACAGTTCCCCCTCTCTAAGCCACAAAGGTTCTCCCCTTCACAAACTCAGCCTCTCCCCTACTTTCTCCCAGTAACAGGATGAGGGTTCCTTGTTACAATCTCCTACGCCTCACCCATAGTGATGCATTTCAAAACCACAAAACAGAAAAGAATATGCTGCACAGAAATACCTGCTTGATGCTAGCTCTGTATAAATGCATGACACCTACATTAATGTTGGTTGCTATGGGAGATTATAAGATTTTTCTACGAAAACCTGAACCATATTCAAGGGGAGATACATCACAGGGATTTAATAACAGTGAAATCACTGTGGGGCACTGTATTATTTGCTTTGAAAGAAGCTGCTTGCCCTGATGATGGTCACTCTAACAGAAAGTCATCTTTAATATGTGGACAACCAGGAAAACACTATTTCCCCCCTTTCTTATTTATAAAATATCCTTGTTTGTAGCAAGTTCAAACAAGAATGCTGGGGGGGGGGAGGGGGAGGAGGGGGCGCAGCAGGGAGAAAGTTCCTAAACAACTCTCTTGCAAACTTATATTTACAAAGGCATCACCCAGAAACTTAATGGTACATGGTAATGCATTAGACAATGGTTTTGGAAGGCCCTTTCTACCTACCATTATTTGTAAAGATTGTAAAGAAAGAATGTAAGGATTTTTTTGTTAATTGAATCCCACTCCCTTCAAGATGAATGATAATGCAAAGACAGCTTTTGGAGCACCTAATGTACTTATGTGGTTATCACAAAAGAGTTCAATCAGAGCATACCCAGAATGTATTATTTATGTTCATATTCCCTCTCCTTTTAAGTAGGGGAGAAATAGTAAGTTATAGGCAAAGACATGAAGACAATTACTTCAGTTTGCTTCAATATCAATAATACTGGTTAGTGTGCTTCATGCTCTAAAGCAGTGATCAGCAGCCTTTCTAAGCCACAGGCCTGAGTGACCCAGTTTGGGTCAGAGAAGGGAAGGAACTAGGACCCAGCTACCACCACTGCTTCTCCCCAAGGTGGCCTGGAAAGAGTGCCCACAACTGGTGCCTCTTCCTGTGGTGGCATGGGAAGGTGACTTGCTGAATCAAATGGCTCTGTGGGCCAGGTCCAGCTCATGTGCTGTATGTTACCAAACCCCTCGTCTAAAGCCATTGTAAGAGTGATTCTGAATTTCCTTAGGAAGAAAGAATAAAGGCCTATGCCAAAACATTCTCAGTCATGAATTCATTGAATTCAGTGCGTCTTGAATCAGGGTGTAAGTAGGGCAAATCAGCACCTCTCTATCAGCTTTATATCATTATGTTCTCGTCCTTTAATCTTGTGTGGAACAGGCTAATAATTTCTGGTTCAAAGGAAATGTCATGTTTTTCCCCTGAAACTTTTAATGAACTGGAAGCTCCAATCCCCTGCAACTGCTCAGTGAATATTATGTTCTTATCATTTTCACTCTGTTTAATCAGAAAATAGTGGCCTAGCTCTACTTGGGAGCTGGTTTTCCATATGGAATGAACAAAATGGCTTTAATAAAATATCAGCCTAATTTGTAGCTAACTGTGTAATGAGTTACTTAAAATGTTTGTGCCACCCGCCTTCCTCTGATTCTTCATTTTT